GAAAGAGAAGGTGGAGGAAGTAAGGATAAAGTGCCCTAATTTCAATTATTCTTAACACAATGTGGAGGGCCATACAGGCAATCCAAGAACAAAAAGGAGCCACCCCAAGGCTGCTCCATCTAGGATGAGGGGTCCAAGAGGCTCCCCTGAGAATATGGTGACTGTGGGGATGTCTTAAAGTCACAAATTCATTTAATTGCAAGGGACGGTCTCTTACCATATCATAATCCAGGAAAGGTTCTGAATCTGATGGCCAGGGAAACCTGGTTTTGAACAGCAGTGATAGGCTTAATATGGTTCTGCTATGCTCATTCCAATATGGACACAATCCTTGTCCTAAAAAACTGTGACAATCTAAATAGATTAGACAAAGGATAAGAAAAAATGTGAGACAATTTGCCTGAAGTCAATTTACAGCTCAGTAACAGTGCCAGAAAACTCATTCCCACATAGGTAGGTGGAAGGAGGGAGGCTGGACAAGGCTTTTTCTAGCAGCAAGTTATGGGGAGAAAGTTTCACAGTAGTGCAGTCACCTTCAAAATCTCCCACCCCACGGAGCTGCCTCTTAGAGTTGAGAATGTAAAGACAGATCTGTTAGGTTTAGGCCAGGGAAGGAGAGGGTTTAGGAGAACAATGCCTCAGGAAAGATGAGGGCCCTATCAAATCTAGGTGGTCAGGTCTGGTGAGGAAAACTGTTAATGAAGAAAATTCCTCTGATTTTCAAGTTTTAAGCTCGTAAGGTTGCACAAAGGAAGACCAGTACATTACGGGAGGCACTGGGGAGAAACATGGGAGTGATATGGTTGGCCAGGAAGAGGAATATGTTGCCAGAGAGGTGGTAGAAGTCCCATCCCTGGAAACATTCATAGTCAGGTTGGACAGACCTCTGAGCAACTTAATCTAGTTTAAGATGTCTCTGCTTACTGCAAGAGGGTTGGACTGGATGGTCTTTAAAGGTCCTGTCCAACCCAAACTATTCTGATTGTACGATTCTATGAAGAGAGCAGGGAGAGCGTGATACAGCATCATAGCAGACTGCAGAGAAATACAAAACAGAGTTAATTGGCAGACATATTGCTCATCGCAGAGCTAATTAACAAATTTGCAAGTTCTTAATCTCCTACAGATCTTCTCACCAAAATTTCTTGCACCAGCCTTGAACTTGTTAATCCCCAAGGAAGCAGCTCCAGGGACCACCCTGTCAGACCTGTGCTGATGAAGATGAAGCTGATGCTTCCACACAGATGCATGAGAGTTAGACACACTCTACAGTCCCAGGAATAGATTTGCTGCCAGTTAATTTGTTAATTAACAAAAGGTCAGAGGCACTTCATCTAGAGCAGAGCTCTTTGCTTGAGAAACTTTGCCAGAAAATGCCTCAGGTGACATCTTCACTCCACAGTGCTAATAGCACCTGTCCATATCTATTATGGTGTCTTTTAGCCTCCCTTCTTGCTGTGGTGGTCTTGGCTAGAAGTTTTTAAACCAGTATGAAACAAACTGGGTTGGATACCGGAGAACCACATGCATTTAAACAAATTTTCCAAGCATTCATATTAGTTGGGTTCACTTTTTTACTTCAGACAGGTCTTTCCAAACTTCATGGCTTGAAATCAGCCTGCTCTTATTGGATTTGTGAGATGGGAAAGGCTGAGACCTTGTGAGCAAATCTGACCATTTCTAACCTGATTAGTGAAAGAGCAAAGAAGCCCTGGATCCAGATTAAATCACCGGACCTTCTGAGCTTTGCTAATCATTACCAATAACCCTGTGATTTCCACACTGGAGCTCGTAGGTAGCTCTGTTGTGCAGAAACAATCTTGGGGGAGCTGAAACTTGCACAGCAACTGCAGAAGGGTCAGCTTAACCTAAAGCATTGCCACTTACAATTTCCAGGTTAAGATGTTTTTGTAAAACATAACAGGATTGTCTCAAACTTTGCTAGACTGCTAGACAACAGCACTGGCTGTTAATTCACCCAGCAGATTCAGGGGCAACTTTGCAAGTAAAAGGTATAACCCTGGAGTAGCAGAGGGGTTAATGTTGTTTCAGTCTGCTGAAAGTTTAAAACAATGTGATTATACTTTGTTGCAATTAAACCAGCTCTTAAGATGTTTTGGCCCAGCTGATCTGAATGATGCCAAACCTAGTTCAAGTAATGAGATTAAAGAAAAAATGATTTTAGCCCAGCTAGAGGTCTTATTTTATAAGTTTATAACTGTATGTATCACCTATACAGGTAAAGCAAAAATGTAGCACTGAATTTGAGTTGTACAGGCAAGATGTCAACCTTCCCCACCTTCAAGATAAACTCATCCTGTTGGCCTCTTCCAGGCAAACCTTTAGATAGGCTCTAACAGTGTAGCTGCACTTCCATTATGCGTACTAAGGGATGTAAGTTTTTTTATTGATGCAGCTTAACTAGAACTGGTTACCCACAAAGATTCCCATACATCAGAGCTTAGAATTGGAAGGGTCTGCAAAGACCCCCTGGTTCAGTCCCTTGATAGTGTGAGTATCACAAAAGCTAACCCCTTTAAGCAATTTTGAAAGATCCTTTAAAAAAAAGGGGGAGAGGAGAATAAAGTATCTTAAAGTGTCTAGAGAAACAGCAAGGAAATTTCATTGTTTAACCTCTTGCAAAAAAAAAAATGAGGTGGACACACTCCTGCTGAGACTTGCCCAACTTTGTGGTCAAAGCAATACAGCCCTGCTGAGCATGGAGGAATGAGCCCTGGGGATTTTGTTGTAGGCCTAAATTTGGTGTAACTAGCATTAGGGCTTGCTGTAACTATGGCAGGTCTGATGTTTAAAAAACTTGCAGATAGGTTGTGCCTATGTAAAATGGGAAGTGAGATAGCTGTTGCTTTTGTCTGATAGATGCAATGGGGAACTGAACCATGAATTACTGGAATGTTTTTCTTCTTCAACCTCTGTTGTTACCTTGCAACAACATGCCCTGGCTAATACATTTGGCAACAAGGACGCTAGGTTGGTAAGCGAAGGCGTAGGGAGTATCAGTGCACCCACTCAGCTATGTAATAACCAAAGAGAGGCACAAGCTTGGAGTTTGCCCCAAATGCAACAAGAAAGAAACTTAAAGAACAAAACCCTGCAGCACCTGATGACCCCCAGGATGACTCAGCTGTGCTGCTGATGGCAGAAATGATCAGCACAGTAAATGCTTGGAGAATGGTGGTCTGGGTGCCCAGAGCTCACAAGTTTTGTTGGATAAACCTCACCCTTGAGCTATAGTCTTTAAGCTAAGAGGATGCCACCTGAACTCCTAACTGAGGAAACCCTTTAGTGATGCTCTGTGACAGTGGGTTATGCTAGGCCTAATATTGCCTGCTAAGATCCCTGTTATCAACAGGGAGGAGGAGGACCTGAAGAAGATAGAGAACATGGGATGTGGTGCACAAATTACTGAATGACCAAGACTCCTGACAAGACATGGCAAATGGAGTCCTGGGGCTCTCCAGATAAGCAGACAAACCTTGTTCAACCTTGTTCACGTTTTATCCATTTACCACCTCTTGGGGAATATCTTCAGAGTTGGTCCAGCATACAGATAGATCACTGAAGAGCAAAAATTGAAGGACATGCAGTTTGGGGCTAAGAAGATTCATTAGTAAGGTTGAGTTTGTCTTTACTCGTGCAGTTTGGGGCTAAGACAGTTTCTTTTTAGGGTTGTGTTGGTCTTTACACTTCCAGGTGTACATCACTCCAAGCCTATGTGTGCTTTTGGACATTTCTTTCTAACCAGGCATAAGCAAGGCAGGGGAAGTGTTTAGCACAGGTGTGCTTCCCCATGGAGTCCCACTGGGGAGTTGTTTCCCACTTTCAAAGCCTTCTACTCTCATGGAAGGGAAATGCAGCCAGCAGGATGTGCTGGGTTGCTGTACTGAGGTTTCTGTCTGCCTTTTTGCTGGTGGAAATGGTAAAATCTTTCCTGTGGAAGGAATCAGGAGTTTGGCCCTTCTTGTATATATAGACTATTATATATTTAAATGAAGAGAAGACTTAAGAGGCATGTGAAACACCAGAAAAAAAAAACAGGGGTAGGAATCATACAGTTCAAAGCTGGTTTTCCACAGACTGCTGTGTGGTAGGGGTTTTTTTTAATTTTTTTAATTCCCCTTTTTTTCTCTCTAGCTCTGTCTGTTTTTACATATTTACACAAGAGGGGAAAAAATCCCTCTTTTTCTTTTTTTATGGGTGGATGAGGGAAAATGCGAGTGATACTTTCTGAGTGCTTGAATTGAAAAATCAATTATTTATTATTTCTAACAAAGTTTTTTAAAGGGCTATAGACACGGAGAAAGTTGACATTAAACTCTACGTACCCACTATACCTCCTGTCTGCCTTTCCACCTCCCACCTTCCCCTGCCAAATGTAAGAAAATACCTATCCTGAGATGAGAGGACATCATCCCTAGGAAGAACAGACAACTCTGAGACACAGGCACAGATTGCAGCCTCCTCATACCCTACCTGGCCTTGTAGGTTGAACACCCACATCTCTAAAATCCTCTTTGCCCGTCTCGGTGCCGGCAGCCCAGAGAGCAGCTCGAGCGCGGGATGGAGCTGGAAGCCTAAAAACTTCGGTCTGCAGAGAGACCTCTAGTGTTATTCTTTCTCCATGTCCTGGCAGAGTTCCTCCAAAGTACAAATACACACAGAGCTCCCATTGTTTG